ACTTCCGTTTTGACTCCAGCCAGTTCCATCCACGTAGGCCAACACCACATTCTTCAGGATTTATTGGAGTGCGGAAAGGGTTCGCCTTCTGCCTCGGAATCGCCTTCCAACCGTGCAGCATGAAGTCCACGGAAGCCCACCTGATAAACAATTTTCAAATAATCGACTGAAAACGTGAACCCAACCAGTCACAAGTACTGTTGGGAATTGTCAAATCAGTCGCAGCTGAAAGTAGAAGAAATAGAAAAAGAGCGAAGCAAAGGTATCTCAAGAATTTGAGAAGAAATCTACCCCTTCCTTTCCAAAGCATGACGGTGCAACAACAAAGTATTATTGTAAAATGAATGGCGGAAAAAGTGATCTGTTCGAAGAAGATGTATAGTGCTGATAGCTGTTATACTTCACTAGTTTGGCTCCGCACACAATCGTGTCCATCACACGGGACTGCAGTAGTACTAAACAGGGCCATCGATATTTTCGTAATCCTTGACCATTTCCGCCCACGCCGCGCACAACCCACACATCGGTAGCAACTAAACTCCCTTCTTTCGCCAACCTCTATCCACGTTTCTCCAGGCTTCTGGGATCTCGCCCACAGACCAGGAAGTTTCGCAGCAAACCCCGCTCACTGCAGCGCCCACCACGCCCACTATCAACATTTGATCTTCCCTGATTCTCCAACCTCCAGCCACTTTTTTCCCGATCTCCGGGACTTTTTGGAACATAGTTGCTATTTTTGTGGCTATCTCCGACCTCAGTCAATCTTCACCCACCAATAGCCCTTGACTTCTCCCTCTTCGTCAACCTCTACCCGCTTTTTTCCCGGTCTCTGTGAATACTTGGAATTGTGCTGTGAGGACTTCCAAGATGCACCGTCTACTCAGGAACACGCTCCGCCCATTATGGGTACGCTAGCGCTCAGTTCGGGTATGCTCAGATCACCATAGATACTGCTTTTCTGCATCGATTCTTTTATGCACCAAGTCTTCCTCCTGACTCAGATACGAAATTTTTTATTAAAACCCATTTAGAGAACGCTCTGCCCACTGTAGGTAGATCCCCAATATTAGACATATCAACTCATGATCAGTGCACGCCTTTTCCCACTTCTCCCACTTCGTGTTGCTCTAACCGAACTCGAACCTTTTGCGCCGACTGGGCGAAATTTTGCCATCCGTGTTCAGCGAATTTGGCGCGTGTGCCGCTCACTTTGAGCGGAGGTTCGCCCACCAGAGAAGTGTTTTGTACTTTCTGAATGTCACCAGATGCTGTAGGAATTTCGCTATAGAAGGAGGGGACACGGAGTCGGACAGATGAATAAGTGTCAATCATTTCCAAAAAAGGCTTGGTAATAATCATACCAGATTGTTCCCCCAGCAACCGCCTCGACCTCGCTTTTCTGTAAGCTTTATGCCTCGCTGTGCCCCCTTGAATCTGTAACCCCAACACCTGAGGGAGGAGATGCGTACGCACAAAAAGGTGTTCTATGTACTACAGGGCATGATCAAAATCATGTCATTGACATTGGATGACGTCTGAAAGTTACTCGTACTATAGCTCTGATCACCGTTGAGTTTTCTCTTCCCCTTCACATACCTTCTCCCCTCAGACCGCCACTGCAGCACATTGTGAATTACCTCGTGCTGCCTGTTATCAATGTTTATGTAGCCTGTCGCGCATTATACACAATCATAGCACTCAATATTGACGGCTCTGTTCTTCACAGCTAACCGGTTTTCTCAGCGGTTTGTTAATTCCAAGAGCTTCCTTTGCAGACGGGCAGGTTTACACGGTAGGCAAAATTACGGACAAGAGGTTGCCGCTGCTAGATTTTAATTTTGAGCATCATGAGCTCTTGATGGTATGGTTTCACCTGTTTTGCTCCGCTCGCTACCGCGCCCATGTCAACGTAGGCTTCATTGAGACTGAGTGTAGCCGGGCTGTAGTGAGTACATAGGCTTTAAATGGAAAGCAGATTATATTGTTATTGATATGTTCACGTACCTCCCCTATATCATCTCTTGAAATCAAATTCTGACGACAGCTGGTGCGCGCGCTATGAATTTTCGGTCAACACACACATACACGCTAACAGACACACTTAGCCAATTATATATAGTAGGATTTTGATCATAGGTGTTCCATCCTTGGTTCTTGACATGAAATATATCAATTCCGATGTGGACAATTCTTTAACTTTCCTAGTATATCGCTACTTTGCTCCGCAAAGCTGTTTGATTGTGCTAGAATGGGCGACTCAGGGGCTCTATGAATCTTCCATCGACCACCACGCTGCTATCGACTTCCTTGCTACGTATTGCTTGCACGAATCTTGACGAATAGTTCACGAAATGGAAATGCTCAACTTCTAACTGATGCGAGAAAATTGAAAAGAATGCAAAAACGCTAAAAGACACTCTCGATTCCGTAATGGGCTTCATTTATCGATCGTTTTCCCCAGTTGAAAGATTCTTGCTGTAGGACCAGTCTTTAATAAGGAGGACAACCGGACCAATCTTATTGAAAAAGTAACCAGCCATTCAGTGGCGGTTTTTGCAAAAACCATAGGATCAGGAATCACCGTTTGTAGATACCTCGCATCTCTGTTGCTGAAGATATAAAATTGCATAGCAGAATCACCTCAAATTCATTTAGTTTCGGTTGCTCTTGAGAACGAAGGGACCTTCAATAGAAAACACAGGGCATCATAGCAAGATTGTGCGATCACCCACAATGCTCACATTGTTTAAGAGTGAGCCAACACAATATTGTGGAGTTCATCAGAAGCACCAACATATTCTTCCCAACTCAAGTAATATGAATTCCTTTGCACTGAGCGTGTCGAGTGTGTTGTTGCTGCTGATTTTGGAATTTCCAGCCACATTGCTTTTTGCGACCAATTTATGTTGTTACCGTAATTTTTGATGACCCTAACACGACTCACTCACTCACGCTTTTCTATGAAGCTTGAGATAGTCTCAATTTCCGGAACGTAATACGCACAGGTAAATACAATGAAACACAGAGACAAGCATGACGTTCGAAATAAAGTTGGGAGAGAAGATTTCAAATACACCGTCATCCAACTTTAAGGTTTATTTCTGTTCATCTTTATCCATTCAAAGGCCCCATCTTAAAGGTCACCATCTAATGAGCAATGTTAGGAATTCCTGAATGAACAACCAACAACAAATTCGAAATTGAATTTTAGGATACTTCAAATTTCTCCTGGATTATGACCTATATGTATAAAAGGAATGGTGAACACAGACAGTCATGCTTGTCCTTGTTTTCGAAATTCACCCATTTACGCGATGCGTTCCATATCTCTTAAGTAAGTGACGAGTTTCGTGTGTAGCAATTTGGTAACCCTTCATTCGGTCTAGTACTGGTGGCGATTTTAGTCTTTGAAAAGAGTAGTCAAGTAGAAGGCAAAGAGATTGCAGCTAGGATTGCTATTTCTAGCCAGTCCGCTGAAAATAATTGACCATCAGAATGGGGAGAATCAGCGGGCCATAGGAGTTTCTTAAAAAATCTGAGCATTGCATGGGCAGAAAAAGTTAAAAGCACACCCACGCTTATACTTGTGCTCAGGTTGGTATGGCATCGCCCGCGCTATTCGACGCGCATCACCCGGTAACACGCTTGACGACATTGTGCAGCGCATGCGCATCACACCTTGAGCACCGTGTGGGACCGTGTGCAGCGCATGCGCTGCACACACAAAATATTTATTTTTTTCGCGCATGCGCTACTTCTTTTCTAATTTTTTGCATCTATTCCATAGACTACACCATAATATGACTAGACACGGCGAGGTTCATTGAATGGTTGAATATGCTCCTTTTTAGCGAAGGTTTTCTAAGCCCTACGAATTTCCCAATTGTGTTCATTCCTAGTTTCCTTTATATTCTGATAATCTTGGTCATAAAAAAGAAAAAAGACCCACACATATAGCAAGACATATGTTTTTAGTGGAGCAACCGCGTCAAAAATAATTTTGAGGTTCACTGCAGCAAAAGCAACTGAAACTTGCCTTTCATCGCCAGAAAACGTCAATTCGATCGATTTTTTACAGTTGTCCCTTCTGATAAGTTTGACACATCGAATATCATTCTAAACATTTTGTTGCATCCGAGTTTTGGGTATTTAAAGCTCAAAATTCACGGATTTGATGTGAGGCGGCGGCGCCTGCAAAATCGCCGTGGTCCCACGCGGCGCAAAAAAACCCAAAACGCGCGTTGTCGTCAACGTGTTAAGAGAAACCACCGGAATAGCAGCATGGCGTACTCCATTAACCACCTCACTATTGATCCGCCTTATCCCCTTCTCTCTGTGGCATTTGGCAGACCGTGTTCTCCCTCCCTTCCTCCTCTCCCCCTTCCCTCCCTACTTCTCTCTCCTCTCCCGCTCTGCTTTCCCCCTCTCCCCTCCCCTCTACTGCCCGCAACTCCGGCTGCCTCGGCAGCACCATGTAGAATGAGACTGAAGGTGATGCCGGATCTGGTGTTTTATAATAGCCGATGTGGGATTTTAGTTGTTCTGTTTTTTCCGGACGGACAGAACGACGCACACACCGGCAAACCGACACACCAAAGTTCTGGTTTATATAATTAAGTGATCTAGAAGTTATACATATCCACTGACTCACGTTTGATTCGAGATCCAACCATCCCGCACAAAACCATGGGCTCTGTTCAATATCCTAATCTTGCCGGGCCAGAATCGCTTGGCGCCTATCGCAATCCTCACACATGTGATCATCTTCAAGTAGGTATGGTAGTTCGTGGCTACTCTCCAAAAGTGCTCGCAAATACCGCGTTCGTGCTCTGCTGTAGGAATGAGGAGCTCAAGGACGACCATCTGAAACAAAATATCGAGATATGGTTTGAGTTTCCGTAACTTGCACCTTCTCAATGCTTTGAACTCTCTTCAGTGGCTGACAAGGAAAAGCCCGTATTTGAGGGAAAGCCTTTCAAAGATGGATTTGTGCATGCACTACGTGTGCTTTTCGAGGAACCTCATTTCATGTTCTGTGCAAGGGAGGTCGTTCACGGTGTGAAGCGGTTTTTTCGAAACGCTTTCTTGAATGTTGTAAGGGTTCTCACGCGTACTGCAACACCGTGTTTCTTTTAGCTGAACGGCACCCTGATGGTCGATATATTATATAATCGAAAGAAAATAGCTGAGAATTGGCGGTTTTTGCATCCTTGGAGTGGCGTTGTCACTGAAAATTCGAATTCGTTGTTCAAAGATGTGAAAACCACAAATTGGGTGTTACCGGATTGTTACCAAGTACTACCTGCATATTGAAAGGTTCTGATACAAATTATGTCAGAAACAACGCAACATTTACTCAAAAATGAAGTTCCCAAAGACCAGATTGGTCTTTCAAAAATGGAGAGCATCGTCCCTTATCAATAACTATTTTCACCGTAGGTCCGTTGGTTTTTCGCCTCTCCCTGATCCTCCCTTTCCCCTCCACTGCCTTCTTCCTGATCCTGCAGTACCATATGAAATAGTGGAAGTGTGCAGTGGGTTCTTATATTAGTCGTAGGGGATATACATAATTATCTATTGCAAAAACAGGTTTGTTGCTATTGTTCAATATCCTAATCTTGCCGGGCCAGAATCGCTTGGCGCCTATCGCAATCCTCACACATGTGATCATCTTCAAGTAGGTATGGTAGTTCGTGGCTACTCTCCAAAAGTGCTCGCAAATACCGCGTTCGTGCTCTGCTGTAGGAATGAGGAGCTCAAGGACGACCATCTGAAACAAAATATCGAGATATGGTTTGAGTTTCCGTAACTTGCACCCTCTCAATGCTTTGAACTCTCTTCAGTGGACACAAGGAAAAGCCCGTATTTGAGATAGCCTTCAAAAGATGATTTGGGATCAGTTACCGTGTTGCTTTTCGAGGAACCTCATTTCATGTTCTGTGCAAGGGAGGTCGTTCACGGTGTGAAGGCGTTTTTTCGAAACGCTTTCTTGAATGTTGTAAGGGTTCTCACGCGTACTGCAACACCGTGTTTCTTTAGCTGACGGCACTTGATGGTCGATCTTATAGTATTCGAAAAATAGCTGAAATGTGTGCCACTGGAAATTCGATATTCGTTGTTCAAGATGTTTTTGAAAACCACAAATTGTGTTTACGGATTGTTACCAAGTACTACCTGCATATTGAAAGGTTCTGATACAAATTATGTCAGAAACAACGCAACGTTTACTCAAAAATGACGTTCCTAAAGACCAGATTGGTCTTGCAAAATGGGATGAGAGATCGTCCTTATCAATATACTATGTCACGGTAGGTCGTGGTTTTTTCGCCTCTCCCTGATCCTCCCTTTCCCCTCCACTGCCTTCTTCCTGATCCTGCAGTACCATATGAAATAGTGGAAGTGTGCAGTGGGTTCTTATATAGTCGTAGCGGGTGTTATCATAATTATCCTATTGCAAAACACAGTTTGGCTTGCATTGTTCAATATCCTAATCTTGCCGGGCCAGAATCGCTTGGCGCCTATCGCAATCCTCACACATGTGATCATCTTCAAGTAGGTATGGTAGTTCGTGGCTACTCTCCAAAAGTGCTCGCAAATACCGCGTTCGTGCTCTGCTGTAGGAATGAGGAGCTCAAGGACGACCATCTGAAACAAAATATCGAGATATGGTTTGAGTTTCCGGAACTTGCACCTTCTCAATGCTTTGAACTCTCTTCAGTGGCTGACAAGGAAAAGCCCGTATTTTGGGATAGCCTTTCAAAAAGATGATTTGTGCATCACTACGTGTGCTTTTCGAGGAACCTCATTTCATGTTCTGTGCAAGGGAGGTCGTTCACGGTGTGAAGCGTTTTTTCGAAACGCTTTCTTGAATGTTGTAAGGGTTCTCACGCGTACTGCAACACCGTGTTTTTTTTAGCTGAACGGCACCCTGATGGGTCGATATATATCGAAAAAAAAATAGCTGAAGAATTGTGTCACTGAAAATTCGAAATTCGTTGTTCAAAGATGTGAAAACCACAAATTGGAGTTACCGGATTGTTACCAAGTACTACCTGCATATTGAAAGGTTCTGATACAAATTATGTCAGAAACAACGCAACATTTACTCAAAAATGAAGTTCCCTAAAGACCAGATTGGTCTTTCTCAAAAATGGGAGAGAAAAGCATGGAGAGAGCAGAGCATCGTCCTTATCATTAACTATTTTCACCCGGTAGTCCGTTTGGTTTTTCGCCTCTCCTGACTCCTTCCCTCCGTGCCTTCGTCCTGCATCCTGCAGTACCATATGAAATAAGTGGAAGTGTGCAGTGGGTTCTTATATAGCCGTAGGGGAGTTATCACAATTATCCTATTGCAAAACACAGCTCAAGTCCTGCGAGCTACTCGATTCTGTTAGCTCTTGTTTATTCCATTAGCTGCCTCACCACTCACGGAAATACAGACAACCATACACACATGCAGACGTATAAACCAACACACACCAAGCAAGCGGTTTATAAAATAGAAGAATAGAAATCAGAAGAATTTATACGAAGTTATTACGAAGCGGTTTATAAATAGAAGAATACTTGCACCTCTGGGATAATAATAGAAGGTCCCCCTAATAAGAGAGCGAGCCGTTGAGAGCAAACACGTTGAGACTCGTGAACAGAAGTGTTAAACCAGTAAAGACAAGAGGGGATATTTAGAGAGTGTATGGTACGATGAAAACGGTGAGATAGCATATCGTATCAAAACGTGGGTTTCCAAAACAGACTGCGAGGTAGTTCAGTCGACTCTGAGAACGGGCTGGGTAAGCCAGCTGATACCAGGAGTACCCTCCCCCTTTCTTTCCCGTGCTTTTGGCCTTAGTGGCCACGCTCTCTATCCTGACCTAAGTGGTCGTCCTTTCTGCTCTTTGTTATCTGAATCTTTGAATCTTGTTTTTTTTCTGTTGTGTTCAATCGCAATAAAGTTTTGTGTATTGGTGTCGAGCATTGTCTACTGAACCTTTCAAGAATCACTCATGAAATTGGGGAAGTGAAAAAGGAAGAACTTTCTTCACGACCCAAGTATGAATAATGATTATGCCATGATGGAAAAACACAAATCGAAGAAAGTACAAAAGAGCACAAAAATTATTTGGCCGAAGAAGACCCCATGATCTCTTCTGCTCAAAGATTACCTGTGGATATGTCCAAAACATTGGCGGAACACTTCCATATTTTAGCAATTTTTGAGGCAGTCTACTGTTATAGCGGCTCTTATAAATTCTTAGACCCTCCTAGATCAAGATTCTCTTTGAGATGTATTGAAAATAGACTCAAGAAATATCTATACCCATATGACACGTAGTTCGTTAAAATGAACGCCGTCATCTGATCATGAAAGTCTTTTCTGGAAGCAGGTGGCTGTAAAACAGTAACTGCGCAATATGGACGTTTTTATCTAATCCGTAATCGTTCTCAAATGCATTGTTTTTGAAATAGCAAGGGCAGATGAAACGCTTCAAGTGTTCATGAAAAGAAAATGAGGAAGAGATAATAGACATGAGCTAGCTCAGCAAGGGATCAGCTGGATAGTTAGCATCTAAATACGGAGAAAAACGACTTTTAGGGAGCCAGGTTGTTCGACGCTTAGCATATGTATAGCAGAGTACTCTATCCACAACTCAAAGGCATCGCATTGCAAAATAGGCAATAATCAGATAGATTAATCTTCAGTATACATAGACCCTTGCAATCTTAGAAA